AAAGTTTTTGAAAAAGTTGCATTTGGTCGGAATCGCGAAGAAGAAAGTGAAAGTCGTTTTCTACGACCTTTTTATCTGGCCCTGTAGCGAAAAATTTAAACAATACATTTTAGAGATTTTTACCTATGCCAATTACATATTGAAATTATATATGCAGATATATATATAATAATTATATATGCCGAAAATTGTATCGAAATTGGATTCTGCGGAAACGCGCTGCAGGTATCGAAAGACGTAACAATCTTTAGATTTATTACAGTTACAGGCCGAATGCGGTGAAAAACTGCGATTTTCAGCATCTTTAACTCATGTTTGTAGCTCGTAACAAAGTCAAGCGATTTCCATGAAATTTTCAACATGTAGTTTAAATTTTCATTACAGGCCCAAATGAAAATTTGTAAGACGTAACGTTTATCTTTTCTTCGGACCAGTTGCAATTTTTTCAACAAATTTTTAAGCGTCATCTAGTAAACTACTGTTCCTAATTTCTAAAAAAGAAAAAAAATCAAATCGTTTAGCCCAATTTTAAACAAGTTATACGATTTTAAAGGATGTACAAATATTCATATGACTCAGTGTAGATATTTTGGTGAACGAGAAAAAAAGATAATAAATTTTTTAGTTGTCGGTATTGCTAAAATTGAAAAATATTGGAAAATTCTTTTTAAGATCACCATATATCACATGTACGCGTGAATGAATCTATCAAGCTGATTAATGGCTTAATATCGTGAAAGATTTGTAGAAAAAATGTTTGTAAAGTTATATAGCACATTTTGCGGTCGTGGGTTTTTCGTTTCTGAAAGATTCTCGTAAATAATCAGGGTATCGTAACATCGAGAACACGATTTCTTTAAAAATTATATTTAAAAATATACGCTGAGATATGATTTAACATTCCCCGGTGTCTAAGTTCTTTCCATTTAACTTTATTTTAATCTAAATCGATCATAGGAGTCATCGAGACGTCAATTTTAATCTTAGTATATCGTTGTTACACCAGTAGACAACGAAGAAGCAGAATGAGAGAAATCTATTTTATCATAACCATAGGCATCAAAAATTTTCCAACCAAAGGAAAGTTCAGTTATCTTAATTTGACTTATGTCGTAGGAAGTTGAATTACCAACTATAGTAATCTCCAAAATTTCGTTACTATGTCGTCCGAATCATTTTACTTAAGAGGAAGAAATATAAAAAGACATTAACTAAACAAGACTATTAATATTCGTGATTTCTCCTTTAAACATAAAAAGATATAAAAAAATCGAAGATCATAGCATAATTAAAGATCGATAATGTAAACATCAAGTTTAGCTGATGTTAAATTAATGTTCATTCCCTTTTCTATCGAACCCGAACTACTCTATCTATGGAATTAATTAACGATCGCACGACTACTTCGTGTTTTTTGCATGAGATTAGACTGAAAGGAAATTTCTATTTGAAAATCTCAGAATTAAACTTCAACTTGGGATGATGTTAGATCAATGCTAATTACATCATCTAATACCATAAAGCATGTATTCTCTTTGTTCTATCACGAACAATGCAATCCAAACGAACCTACTCCAATTAATTAAGAATTAATTAGCCATCCATGTTACGTTTCCACTGTCAGGGTGCAGGGAATGAAAATCGAAGACCACATTGGTAACAGCATAAGTAGATATTAATAAGACAACTAAGCTTTTAATATTTCGATTTTTAGATCGCTTAATAATACTAATTATAAATATATTGTTGATAAAATCAAGATAACACAATAATTAAACTAATATCGTTCGTTTCTTACAAAATATCGCGCATTTATAGTTAAATACTGTAAACGTTGTAAAAATTTCTTTCATGCAATTTTATCTTATTCGATTATTTCCAATGCCTCTTCTTAGTCATCAAGTGACGCAAAGATCAACAAATTAACAACGATAGACTTGTCGTACTTTTGCCGTGTGGTCTTCGTTTGAAAATCATGCAACAAGGCGATACGAGCGGATTTGCGACGACGATCAATATCGTTAATCCTTAATCCAAGCCATAAACAGCGAGTACGAGGCAAAATGATAATCATCGAACAGCCGTTTCGTTTATGCAATCATGCAAATTGATTAGATAACGTAGCGTTCTAGAGGAAGATCGAAGCCGAATCCTCCAGCTATTTCGTAATATTCTCCTGAAGGTAGCAGCATCTGGACGAAGAAACGACGAAATAATGATTTTTTCTATACGCACCTTCACACAGAGGCGATCTGCCAAAAATATACGATACATGCGACGCATGTCTGCTCGTTCGATATATCGATTTGATAGGAACGGAGATTGACACCAACAACTCGGACGAAAGCTCGTTATTTCGGGCCTGCCGATGTCGTATACATAGAGCTGTTAGACGTATTAAAAATTACATCGTCGTCGATTGCTTTTTCGAGTGCGACATTGAAGAAGAGCGTATTAATCATCCAACAGGGCAATAAAGACGTTAATGAAGAACGATGCATTACGTGCACCGATATCGTGGTTTCCAAGTTTTCCTGTTAGCCTTGCTACGTTTTTACGTCATTTTCAGTTCAATGTTTCGCTATTCTATATCGTTAGAAGATCTCTTCAAATTTGAACAAACTATGAAAGGATCATCGTTTTTGGTATGTGAGGTTTCTCGTTCCAATTTTCTGTTAACTGATTAGTCTCCTTGTTTGTCGAGATAAGAACGAGATCGCAATATAAAAATTCTGACATTGTAGCAAGGTTGAAAACACTGAAATATCAGGATACAGAGAGCAAAGCAAAAACGAGAAAGGAGCATCGATTTTCTGAATTCTGTGTCAAGTTGGCAACACACTGCGAGGATCTCGCGCGAGTTTTCTTCTCCCCTCTGACATTATAGGTTCTCTCATTGTGCCGCTGGAACGTATATACCTGAATTTCCAAAAGGGCTGGAAGGGCGTAGCCCAAATACCAACCAGATGATACCCTCGATTGTTCACTGTCATGATACCATCGTGTAAAGTTTTTCCCAAAAACATATTTCTCATTGAATTTTCTCGCATACATCGCCATTGAGATTCATTAATCGGTCGATAATTAGTCATCTCGAAATAATTAGAAAAATAGTAGAAAAAGCTTGGCCTTTAAACTAGAGAGATAAAAGGAGACAGATAACAAAGAAGATTTTACTTATTCGCGTTCAAAAAACGAGGAATTAGAGTTGTATGAACAGTTGTTTGTAAGAAGCCAATAATTCTCAAACAATAGCTTTCAGTAACTATCAGTTTCCAAGTGATAAGAAAACATCATTGAGAAGATTAGATTCTTCATAATAATACAAACTAATGTGTTTACAATTAATAGATCTGGAGGAAAATATTTATTGATATCTGAGAAATCATGATTAGAAATCTACACTCACAATGGAAATCTGCCTTTTGTAAAGAAACTAAGTTTCATGGTATGATAATTTGGAACAAAACGGCAAACAGTATTTGTATAAAATTGTAAATGTTCTTGATCGTAAGTGCTGTGTAATTGAAGAACTTCACACAGAACTCTTAGTTACTTACTCAAGCTATTAGAAAAGAATCTGAATATACAACCAATGAAAAAATCATTCGTATAAGCAGACACTATTTTTAATCATAGACATTGCATAAGTCTCTTGTCAAAGAAAAGAGACTGTGTCGATTGAACTTCTTTATTGCCAGTAATGTTTTACACGATACAGTTAGATATAACTAGAAAAGATCTTGAACGAATTTAATAGCAATTATACAGACTTAATATCTTGTAATATGATTTTAAACCACTTAGTGGATTTAGATTTTATTCTTCTGTACCTTAATAACGTAAAACTCCATGAATTAATAAAGTTCTATATAATATTATTGTACTCGATTACTTTCTCTCATACTTTAAGAACTAAGTTGCAGAACCAAAGTAAAGGATAATTTTTTATTAGTTACCTAGTTACCTTAGTTACCCGATTTAAGTCTTAAGGAATTAACTGAAAAAGAATTTGTAGCGCTTTGTTAAGAAAAGACATTGAATCTCCCCATCGCATAAAGGAAATAGTAACCTAAAGGTATAGCTTAGAAATCCAACATTATTGTCAAGCTCCCACCCACAATTTCTCGTCTAATCCTTCAAAAACCATCTAAAAAAATTCATAATCATGCAATGAACACAGACAATTCATGCCAAGACTGAACATAGGTTAGGGCTGTCGAGCAACTATCACTCTTCACTTTGAAAAACTTGACATATCGCATGTTATTCACACATTAGGAAGTACTGTACTATTAAAATAAATGATCAAGAAATTCAACGTGTCCGTGCAGCGGTATCAGCCGAATACAATGTTTACCGTTCAACACATCTCACTGTCATGTCTCTACACAATTTATAATCTACAATGTGTATAACCATCTACTTCTCTATGTTACAGTAAGGAAACGTTCAAGACAATACGTAACGGCGATTTCTGGCGAAAACGATCGAGATGCACAGCGTTTTCGTGGACAACACCCGCGGAGAAGATCGCGTTTTCACGATGATCGAGCGGGCGACGATCAAGAAGAGTCGAGCACAACTGTGGTACGCGTGTCGCGTAAACATCGGATTCAGCAGAAGCCGCCAAAATCGAGAATTACGAAGGAACATCCTTAGAACAGCATCGGGTAAAAAAGCGATGGTCCCCCCTACCCTCTTCCTCGGGCACCCGCTCCATCGTTTTCCCAAGAGTAACCCAGGCACTGGCACGCAGACGCACAGCTCTGCATTCGGAGTTCGGAGACGGACAGGCAAACGAGCGAAGCGGCGAGAGAAAGAGCGCGGTAAGAGGGGCAACAAGTGAGGAAGGGGTTCCTAGGGAGGGAGACTCGGGGAAGAGAGACGTAGTGGGGGGAGGGAACACAGGGAAAGAAGAGGGAGAGAAGCCCGAGAGACCCGAGTAAAAGCTATGTGTGCTAGAGGTTAAGGCACGTCCTACGGCCTACGGTACTCACTGCTGACTCTCATGCCACCCAGGGGTGGATTCGTGGGCGCGTTGGTGCAATCGGCAAAGGAGGTGGTCCTCGGTCGGCTGCTCATTCTGAAATCTTCTTGACCCGATTCTCCACCGCCACCTGACACTCAAATCTTTTTAGAATAAAACGCCGCTTCTAGTTATTCCTATGCTGGTCGCCGCCTCGGCTGGCCGTGGCACTTCCTCACGTGAAGATAGCCAGCAGCGCGTCGTCGTCGTCGCCGTCGTCGTTGTTATTGTCGTCGTCGACACCACCTCGGACATCAATGACAGCACGAACGATAATTACATCGCACGCACGCATGCACGTCCGCACGGTTCGGTTCTTCTATATTACGCCACGGCCGCGCTCGATCGATGGATGGAGGGAGAGAAAGAAAAAGAGAGGAAGGGTGGGAGGGAGTAGGAGGGATAGATGGAAGGGAAGAGCTACGAGCGAGCAAAGCGCGCGCAAGATCCAGAAAACGGAAACCACGTCGGAGAACAGTGTGCTCCTTCACGATGATTAATCGAATCACTAAAATAAAGAAAATGGAAAACGGTGGTCGCCGAAATTTTCGATCACTTTCTCGACACTTTCTTCGACGAATTACGCTCCTGTTAACCGCTGACGATGTAGCGTGGCAATGGTAGTGACGGCAGCGACTCTCACAAGCAAAACGTTCGTCGTTAACAACGCACACTGGGTTATACGCTCCGTTCGCACAAGCAACTTCGCGCGATAGACTTGACCGTCGCGATACGCGATTCACTCGATGCTCTCTTTTCCCTTGGGGAATCTAGTCGATTCTCCACCAATGAATATGATATACGCCGCGTCGATAGCGTCCAACTACACGAATTGACACAATTTGCGACAATCTTTCGTATTAACCGCTGACTGTCAGGGAGTATCACGCACCGAGAAGTGCGGTTCTACTACCTAATAACCTGACGGGGGCGCGGAGTGTTGCGGAGAGCTATGCCGCGAGGGGAGGCAGGGGTTGACGTTTTCGGAACGGTTCGTACACGTTCGCCAGTGGAGGCACACCGCCGCACTTGCTTGCCTTCCTATATAGTACAACTCCACGATGATCCGGCTGACGGGTCGGATTTCTTCGTCGTTGGTGATCTTTCTATGTAACTCGCCACCGTGGCTTCTACAACAGCCGCAACACTTTGAATTTTTCTTCTCTCAATGACGATACACCTATACGACGCTTGTCGTTCTTACATCGTACACTTCTTCCAATCGTTCTCTCTTTTTCGGTCTAACGGCGTAGTCGTCAATCGTCTCTTTTCGTTTCTCTCACTCTCTCGCTTTTCTTCCTTTCTCTTGCTTCTCTTATTCTCTCGACTGTTTTCTCTCACTTCTACGCTCGAACTTTTCGAGTATGCGGGGGAAGCGCTACTGCCTCACCTCCTCCACTACCACTCTTTCTCGCTCGCTCTATCTTTCTCGATATACTTTGAATCTTGTCACTACTCGTCACTCCTGGCGCTTCTTGACTTGTCAGGCCCGACGTTATCGACTTGCCAGGCTTGTGCACGCTTCGTCGCGAACACCGCTTTCCTAGGCGGAAAAACAAGCTTCGACCGTGCTGACGCCGACGTGGACGTCTTCGTCGTCGTCCGTGTCGACGTTGCTCGAGGGGAGGTCGTCGTCACCGTCGTTGTTCACCTCTGCTTTCGATAATCGTGAAACCACTATACGAACGTCGTCTCGAGCCTGACGGCGGGAAAGGGGTAAAAGGCGCGAGCTGGACTTACGCGGCAAAACCAATTCCTCGACAATCAACGACGACGTTTTCTCTTCCTCACCGTGCACACGAACACCACACCACTTACGAATTTTTCGAAGCCTCCTCAGACATTGACCCGTTCGGGCTAGATCGGGCCACTCGAATGTCCACGAACATTGCCGAAAGTGACGTCAGTAATACCCCGCCCTGCCTCTTACCCTGCAGACCTGCAGATCATCGTATAGCAAGTGAGATGGCGCTTTCGTCGTCCATTTTACCACCATCTTGTGACAATTTTTCTTACTAAATTAGTTGGGCGGTAAATTTAACAGTATATTGTATATGTTTAAAAAACTTACAAACGAAAACCAAAGGAGAAAAACATGATAAGTTGCACTTTTCAATTTTAACAAGAAAGCGATTTAAAAATTTGATCCTAATATGGGATTATCATATTTCTTTCATGCGGTCTTCAAATAATATACAATAATCGTATTAAAGGATGATATATAACAAGTATACGAATAGCTGCTAAAGTAATATATATATTTCTTTAACGAAATTGTTCGTATAGGATACTATGTTTTACGGATAAGATAAATAATAAAAGTATGTGTAAATATGTATTTCTAACATATTGTATATGTTACATTCTCTATTAATCTATTATTTTTTTGAAATTAGTTTTAACTGAGGAATAAATATTCATATATCATAAAGTTCTTTCCGGTCATTATCAGTTTTAAATATTGTACTACTTTATTCAAATACTATATCAATATTTCTTAGTAATATAAATAAACGATTGTTTTATGAAGTGTTCGATAATATAGGAGCATTAAATATTTTTTGTTAAAGCAAGTTTCATTTTAAAATTATTTGGAATTATATACTAATACACATTTGTCAATTGTATATTGATATACACGTGACTTAACTCACGTGATTTCCGATTTCTAGTTTCAGCTATAGTTAACAATTTCCTGGCTTGAATGTGAAAAGTGCAGAAAGCGTGGGACGTATTTCCCATCTGAATATTTCAGCTGGTTGTGTTAAAAATGGTACATTATCACGAAAAGTGGCGTTATAGTACTAAAGAAAAGGTATGAACGATAATTGGTAAAGCTTATCATAGTTTTATTGTAACCTGAATCTCGCGAATGACATGGGACAACCAACGTTTAATCATAATGTCATCAAATTACACGATTTGCGCAATTAAACTCGTCATTATTAATATGTTGTTCTAGATATCGAATACGATATCTAGAAATATCGTAGGTCCTTTTTATAGATATAGAAGGCACAAATAATGATGCCACTATGTGGTAAATACATAGACAAGAAATTATTGCCAGATTAGTTAATCAAATCATACTGTTGCAATGACAACTGTATTTAAAATCATGGAACTTGCTGTACAGACAAAATATAGTATAAATTTGTCTTAATAACATTCAAACATCGTAATCCATATACAAACATAGGAATTATATTCACTGGAATTGTTGAAAACAGATATCGATAAAATCAATAGCATCTCAAGTAATAGTCAACTAATTGACCAAATATAGAATGCTATACATATAATATACAGCATAGAGCTTGCATTTTATGGATCCTTGTGTTCCATATTCTGAAATACTGATTATATAAAAAATTAGTGTTTCTTATGTCCTCTGTGATTTATAGCAGTGGATGTAGGAATTATATTTAATCCAACTAACAAAGTTGATAAAGTCATAGACGATGCGTATTTGTCATCAGTCATCAGTGCAATCCCACTGAGGATGGAAAGAATGGCAAATAGAGAAAAGAGAAAAGTATGTACATACATACTTATTACTAATACACTTATTCTTTCCTTATACAAATTATATGGTTGTTGTATATACTATGTACAATCATAACTAAAGTTTATTGTTAATGTTAAAGATGGCTCTTGTATATGCTATGCCAGATTGTAAAAGTATTTACAAATGCAACGGTAGTATTGCCTTTTTAAAACATCAAAAAATTCAAACTTGGAAATATATGGGAAAAAGCTATTCCTGATATAAGAGAACTAAAGACAAGACACTTAATATATGAGAAACATTTTAAAGAGGAATTTATAAAAAAAAGAATTGTTCAAAAAGATTATTGTAATAATTTTTTATATAATTAGTATTATTTTGTACATATATATTATGCTGTGTAGTATTATATACAAAATATTGAATAAAATGTAGGTATGTATATAGAAAATTGTACATTATTTACTGTATAGTTTGCGATAGTTTAAAGATTGTATAGTTGGTGTTAAGGATAATGTATCAGCGATCTTGCATATGATGCAATAGTTCTGTATTTATTGGAAAAATGATATATTTGATAAACTACATAACAAATAACGTGGAAAAACTTCTTTATTAACATTCTACCTTCAAAAAGCAATCCCATATTTTTACTTTTATAAAATTACTTTTATCTTGTTCTTTCTTATAAAAAAAAAGAGTGGTTTCTGTACTGTTCCTCTTTTACCTAATAATTATATTTCATTTCTGTCGAAATGTCTCCAATAAATAATGATTTTTTCTTGGTTATTAAGCGTATTTTAGATTTTGAATTTTGCATCAAATATCACATTATTCTTGGCTATGTCAATAATGGCGAATGCTCATGTGTATTCTTGGGTTCCTTCAAGCAGCGCTACTACGTGAGAGGTAAGGGAATTAAAGATAGGACTTCAAAATGAACCCATTCACCACCAGCTAAAAAATTCGGCAAGTTACCAGACTGCGTTATGTATACGACAGTGGTCATCGTAAGAATTACATAACTGATTATCATTAATGCGAGTGTAAATAAATAAGCATGATGAGCATACAAATCATGGAAGCTACATTAACAAACTGAGATGATTATATGATTTACGTATAATATGTATAATAGGGAACAGAAAAGGTGATTATCTTGGAATGGATTATGCAGAGGAATGCAAATCTGATTGGTTATTTCTGATGGACCCAACATAATCATAAAGATAAGCACGCGTATTGGTAATTTGAAGTATCATACTGGGATAGAGATCAGTGTTTTCGGTTATCCGTGTACTGTCCCGCATATATCTTCCCAGTTTTAGAGAATTTTAGTGAGGTATTATGGCCAGTAGTAAGGAAGAGGAAATATATTAAAGCGCGTACGCAACAAAAATGATAGGAAAGGTAGGAAATCCCTATAACCAGTGTCGTTGTTGATTTCCTTACCGACCATATTTTACTAAGCGCAAAAGTGAGCCACGGTCATATACGTAGGTTCGAACTCTTTTCTATCGAAAGCATTGACGAAACCGTTCATCTTTTGAGTCAACAAAAATCAAGGTGGAGGGCAAGAAAAGCTCTCATTATACTGCGTGACAGATTTATACACATATACATAGATATTATGAATGTCTCTCAGACAGACAGAGACGCTTCTCATTTCTATTTATCTCACAGAACGAGACCTTTTCTCCTTCTCCATCTTGATTTTTTTTACTCAAGAGACGGACGGTTTTCCCTAGCGAGTGTTCAGATTTGTTTATATGACCGTGAGGTGATTATAGTGAAAACCAGGTTATAGGGAATCTTTTGTTGTGTTTTGTTCGATCCACGGACGACCGTGGTTCGATCCATCGAAGGTCCCTTTCCCACTTAAGGGCCTTACTTGTAACATAGGAGGAGTAGGGAGACACACCAATCCAGGCCCGTTTACTTTATTCCCCTACCTGGAACTTCTACAATTCCATTTTCAAACGCATCATTTCTCCACATTCTGCCTCGTGATTCCGTTGTTGGTTTAGATCGTGGACTTGTTTTCTCAACGAAATTTTGTTGGAACGTCTTTTTATTCACAATCTACATTTTGGCAAGTTTAAACATCACAAATCAGGATAGAAAACGGATTTGCTTGTTGGCCTTGGATGGGTTTGAATTCAGTCCACGTTTTTTAATTTTATTCGTGACTAGATCCACACTCATCCAGGGAAATCGAGCTGATGTTCAGAGACGATCCTCAAGATTGAACCTGTTTGTTGGACTTACAGAAAATACTTTTCAGTTTTTTTTCAACAAGTTTTGTGTTTTATTGTAAATAATTTATAGAAGTGAAGAAGGAAAAGAAAAGAAGCAAAGAAATAATTAATATCGCTATATTTGATGAACAAATATACTTTTATATCGTCGTAAGTAACATATTTAAAAAAAATGAAATTTTTTCTCTCTGTCTATCTTATTTCATATCGTCTCATGTAAGAACAAATCTTTTGTATTTTATATGATCTTATCTTAAAATTATTCTAGTATACAACTCTTGTGTAAAAGTAAGAAATATACGAAAGATACTTAAATTTTAAACCAGTGAATATAGGATTTGTTTCATTTTCTTTGTGTATGAACACCTGCTGTATTTCCCCTCCAACGATCTCCCTCTTTTCATTGGCAGTAATAATCCTGCTGCCCTTAACCCTCCCCTCCTGATCTATCCGTCTCTGTTTATCCACTTTTCTTTCTCATATTTCATTCGTCCTTCCTATATAACGGTAAGAACTTGTCTTTACCGTCTTTTTTCTACGTCCAGATTATTTTTACTTTTGGATATATGAAAATTCGAGAATGGAATCGATGTACCATAATTTTATAATTTATTCGTTTTTCTATTTTCTTTTATCAAAATATTTTGTATATATTTGAGAATAAAACAATATTGAATACGAAGTAGTTGTAAACATTTCATTTTTTCACTGTATATATACTTCGTACAATGTTATATTTATAAATACTTGACGTATATAAGGGACCGGATATCTGCATGGAATCAATAAATACTTGTTTCCTCTGCTCTACATGTATAATATAAATCTTAAGTATATTATAATAAATTCTTTAAGAATAAATAATATGAATAAACAATGTGCGTCTTTACACATGTGAATGTGTTATTTATATTTCAATTACTATATTATGGAAAAAATGATTTTTATCCTAAGGAAACATAAAAAAACGTATATATGAGATAAATAACTTTTGAAATTTTGGTGAATTTTTGATAAACATACGATTATGATACTTGGTAATTTTATGTCGTAAATAAGTTCAAATTACGATATTGTGTGTCTCATGTAAATGAAGTTTTTTCCTCTTTACATTGTCCATAATGTATATCACGTATTTCGAGATTCTAGACTTAATTGTGCTATACAAGTATGCTCATCTTGATTTTCCTCTTCATAACATATATCAGGGTTTGAACGCATTTGCTCTATCGCTTGTTTAATCTGAATTTGTAATTGACTGGCAACTTTGCGTACTGCCATATAGTTTTGTTTTATTTGTTTTATACATGAAGGTAAACTTTTCCATGGAGCAACACTTGTATGGCCAAGATAAAGTTCCTTCCACAACTGAATACTAATAGGTGCAACACTGGGCCAAATGACTCCTGAATTTGGTTCATACAAAGGATTCAACCATTTCTCCAATATTTCCGGTTGATTTATATAAGACCATAAACTACACGTTCGTTCAGATAATCGAAGTCTAACCCTCTCTGCTTCCGAATCACCTGGAGCCAATATATATACAAATATTTTAAATATGGAAATTAAGTATTAGAATGAATATATAATAGTATTATGTGTAAATACCTAAAAATGTGCCATAATTAGAGTAATATGCATGATTGTACAACTCAATCAATAATTCTACTGTATATTCAAAGCTAAATTGAAATTGATAATGGAGTTGGTAAAGACAATCGAGGAAAAGAAGAAAAGTCGGTGCATGCGTTGGATTTTGTGAATTTGATGGATGGTATGGTCCATGACGTGTACGGCTAAAAAATTGATGACCAGCTTGTATCCATTCACGTTCGATTAAAGCTTGAAGGCCACGTACTGTTCTACAGTCAGGATTTAATATCGTTTGTGCTAAGCTGGTTACCACTAAAGTAGAATCTCTGCCAGCACTACCTGTTCAAAACGCAGCAAGTATCCTTACTTAGTAATACTGTAATTAATATAATCGTATTTGCTTAATCATTTTATAGATTATATACCATGAACTAATACAGCTGCAACTTCTTGATGAAGACACTGAGCAGTTACACAAGCAGCGTTTAAAGCGCTTTGTACAGCGGATAACCATCCACCGTTATCAAGTCTTGAGATCCACTGGGAAGTAGAACACGTTATATCATTACAAGCTTCTATCAATTTAAAAAAACTATCTGCTAAATCATGGGGTCGCGGAACCGCTTTGTGTACTTTCCGCCATTGCGGATAAGCAGCATCCATTTCTGTACCACCACCCTTAGCTCTGGAACTTTGAGCTTGGCTAATGGACCTTGTATCTATTATATAACTATTGACAAATCTTACATTAGTAACATTGGTTAGATCGAAAAAGTATTACTTTGTTATTAGTATGAGACACTGTGATCGATATTAAATATCAAATCATAGTTAAACACTTCTAAGATCGGCTAAAGTATAAGCTTTAAAGAATGTGGTATTTACCCACGTCTTCCTGGCCCTAACACAGCATTTAACAATCTTTCATCTTCTTTACATCTTTTACCATTAGTGCCACACATCGGTTGACTACTTCTTAACAAGATACTCTGTAACGTTGGTTGATCAATCCTGTATATATATCTAATTTATTGTATTGTACTTGCTGCACAATATGATATTACATACCCCTCCTTCGTGTCTGTAACATAAAACTGGAAATCGTCCACCATCTCTAAAATTGGCAGATGATATTATAATCTTATCTTCTATGTGACGTGGTACTATAACAGCAGAAGGATAAGAATTGCAAACTTTGTAGTCTTTATTTAAATAACTAATACGCCATTCATCCGCATAAGCAGTTAACAATCTGGACCATTCTGATACTGGAGCAAACGCAGTCCACCCATCTTCTATTTGTTTTATAGTACTGTTAGCAACTTGTGGTCTATTAAAAAAGGGATACTGTAAAGTTTGCTCTGTAGTAAAGAAAGAAGTGGGAATTAACACAAAATATGGAAAAAATATACTTTTACAAAGATGAAAATAACGTTACGTATTTCACCTTGTGACGTTAACATCTCTATAGATAGCGCAACATTTGTTAAGTCATCTGTTGAATTAATATCTAATTGAAGAATGTGAAAATCTTTACATTTCAATATAATGGTACCACCTGGACTTTGGGTATTCAATCTTTTCTCTATAAGATCAATATTTCGATATAATAGCTGAAAAACATTGAAAGAAGATAGAACATAAATGGACTAAACTAACATTTCAAATAATCATAATGCTAAAATAATTTTCACATTAGATCGTACCCAGAGCTCTTGTCCATCGCCTTGTCGCGAAGACCAAAGAAGATGGTGACTACTAATACATAGTCTTCCATCTATACTTTTGTAATTGCCATCACTTTTATCTACCAACGCAACGTTATCAAGTTTTGGAATTAATATTAGGTCGCCAAGTTCCATTATACGTTTCGATCGAACGTTGTTGATATTTAATTATTGACAGAAATACATATAATTTGTTTTTCAAGCTCTACATAACCTAACACTGTTATCTATATAATCATCACTGAACAAATTTTATTTGGTTACTTAGAATAATTGCAAATGTAGATTTATGGATAGATTTATAAAGAAATATTTGTTAAGCCTTCATACTCTTCGATCTCTGTGAAATATGTTTATATCATGTATGCTAATATTTTAGTATACGTTGGAAAAATGTATCGTTAATCGCTGCACTTCTGTTTACGTTTCTTATATTTTATGCTACTCATTAATAAATTTGCCTTCCCTTAGCCGTTGTTACTTATTATGTTATGTATAGTTTACGTAATGTGGCTCCCCGCAGCGTTAATTTTAAGAACGTCATGGTTATGTAGGTAGCCTTCGCCTTTTGTCTATGCCTTTTGTGAGTACACTCGTGACATCTCGTAGTATGGATTCTGTCGCGGTAAATACGAATATCGTACAGCAATGTCATCGAAGGAACGAACAAAGGAATTGCGATAATAAATTTATTACGTGTTATAATTATTAATTATTATTGATAGCTACTAATAATTCTTGTCGTTAGAAGCAACATTGATAGAAGAAACATTGGTAAGACGTGAAATTCTCGTTTTAAACTTCCTTTTAGTCAATGACCGTGTTGTGTACTCGCCTGTGATCAAGTTTACCCGGTTTTTTAGTTACAAAAGGTAAACGAAGATTCGTCATCGATAAAATCATTTTCTGTATTAATGTGCGTCGATTTGTTGCTATCTTTTCCTTTTTTGTTTCTCCTTTTGCTAATAGCACTTAGACTTGTCCGAGACTTATGCGTGTTTTTTATGTGTTCAATAAGTAGTATTTACATTTGCTAATAACAGCGGTTGCTATAGCAGAAGTCGATCTTAACGTCATCTACTGTAAAATCATACCAAACCCGTACAGTCATCTGGTGGCGATTTCGCGTGAACACAATGGCGAAGGGTAGAGAATCCCCACTCTCAGTTCTTTGGCAGTCACCAAAGCGCGGGCTAAGGTTCAAGTTGCATTTTAGATGCGAACGAACGCACATCGTTTTCGGTTAGTGGTCATGAACTAAGTTTCGTGAAACTCATCTACTTTTGCGAAGAGGGACAGGGTCGAGTGGTGCAGATTGTGATATCTCGTTGTGGACTCTACGATCGAGAATTCGGTAAGTTTCAATGTTGGCATTTCTCTGTTTGTTCAACCATGTTCCTTAATTACGAGAAAATGTTGACATTACCAGTGCATCGACTCTCGTTGCGAGTTAACGTTCCCTCCCTTCGGTGATTTGACGCATTGTCGTATAATGACGTTTCGTCACCGTGTTTCCTGTGGCATTTATCGAGCGAAATTGCCGTACTTTCGTTTAATACGTAACCACGTTAAATCGCACGTGGAGTTGAAATACGGAGGCGAACCGCATCCGGCGTTGCATGATTGGCCCGAAGCGGTCAAATCACATGTAATTCGAATTAATGTCAACTTTCCTGCGCCAACGGAAGTCGTCGAATGTACTCGATCACCGCGACACGTTTACGTCTCCTACATGTGACAGTCGATGTGCTCGTTAACGACGAACATCTTATTCCACGTACACATTTTATAAATTCCCCTAGATCGCTATTTAGTGAATAACCAAATTTTTAACAAATTAAATAATTTTCGATATTAACACATTCTTAGCGGCATACATAACATGCGTTCGTATACGCGTACAAATACAGGTTTGAATACGTTTTTTCCATCGTTTCGTTCTGTCAATAACCTGCTACATACTGTTAAATAGGAATCTCGAGCAAAAGACAGGAATTTGTCGCGACATCATTCGAAGGCTCATTGGCGAATCCGTGCGCGTTTTATAATCGACTGGAACGTTCTGTATTCCGAATAGGTTATCGGCGTATAAATTCATAAATCGTGGCGCGCGCGTGGTTGTTGGTAGCCATGGATCGTCGAATCGCGAAAGTCACGTAGTCGTCGTTAGCTCGTCGCCTACGCGTACGCGCGGTTCGCTTGTTAAAAAGGATTAATCTGAACGATTACGTTATCAAACGATCGGGGTGTGAAAGGTATTACGACAGCGCGGTAACATCGCGGAGAAGTTCTCGGGGCGTAGCGGTGGCTTTATCCGCGTCGCTGTCGCCTCTCGCCCCGGCCAAATTGTTTTAGTGGCGAAAAGTTGGACGGAACTTTAAGAGGGCGCGTGTTAACTGCCGGCGAAGAAGGTGGCGCGGGAAGACACTGCCATATTAATGTCGCGCGACGAGCAACTTTTCGGGAGTAATAGCCGACCGAGAGAAAGATGCAAAAATGAAAACAAAATATTATTCGATCTAGCGGAAACTTCTTTTTGATTTCAACTCTTTGCGTTCTGAAAATTTTTATGGTCGGCTTAGCAATTCCAGTACGCTTTTACAGTAAAACTTTATCGAACCGAAGAGTCCCGTTTCGAAAAGAAAAATATTCCTACACTCGTTTAATAGCATTCTCTTCTTTTCTATCTTCTATAGATGGAAGCAATATGGAAAGTAATTTTAAAGAAGTAATTTAAGAAGCAAACTATCGTTTCGTTACCTACGTTCTGTGTGCTACACGTTTCATAAGATCTAAATACCGCGTATGACAAGTTTCGTTTTCAAATAGAATACCAAATGCACGAATTGAGTACCGTTTTTCAACAAGTCAACGTAGAACAGAAATTTGGTTTCTTCGTAATTTGTAATTCTACGATGGTAGAAGCATTTGGTTAAAAAATGATTCGGTCAAGTGGTTAGTACATAGAATTATAACTTCTAGCTACTAATAACTCTATGTTTGGAAATTTCGTGAATCGGCAAGCGGACGCAATTTCCTCGTAAATCTGATATTTTATTTCGTGATTTTTACATTGTATTTCGGGATATCGAACACGCGGTTCGCGAATGCATGTATGCGTTCGCATGTATGCTCGCGAGGAATCTGAAATGCTATTCGACCGGCATAATCCGCCCAAGCATCGCCACTAAATTACCATTCGAATTGATTCGCGTTTCGACGGCATAGCGGCGGCATTACCGCACCGACGCCGCGATTTATTTGGAAATCGTAACAATGCCGTTTTCATTGAACGCTACCCAGTAGCAGCGTAAGGTCCGCTGCTATTGTCAAAATGCGGCAGAGGGCGAGTTCTATGCGTCTAATGTTGACCAATGAATTCTGTTCCGTTGCGTTATTAACTGATATCACGATCGCGCGTGTCTCTTCCAACTATGTATGCTCGATTTAGAGTACCCGCGGGAATTTCAATGTGAAAGAACTTTTGCCTATTCATCGGCAATGTACGATACGGTAGAACGTGGTTTACACGAACAAATTAATGCTCAGCTCCAGATATACATCTATGAATCTTTATTATCAGTCGAAGTATACTTTCAACTATACGAACGTATTTTATGACGATTTAAATTATAAAAAGGAAATTATTGGGCTGGCGACTAAGCGATCGCGGATTTTGTCGTTTCCACCTAATGGTATCATTAATGGGAAAATACATAAAAAAAAGCTCCGCTCCCCAGAGGCTTAAATTCAAAAACTGCATCATACAACGAAAAATGTAAAGCGCCGACACGTAATACAGCATGGCTACGTCGTACCGCCGCGTATCGGTACCTTTGCCTAACATACCATTACAAAAATTCATGTTTATTGTGAATAATGTACTTAAAATCTGTATTTTCTGGACTCAATAAACTCCTTCGTAAAAAAAAAAGTATCATTAATGGGATCAATAGGCAAAATCGGCGATTACTTAGTTGCCAATCCGATATATTCTCAAGGTTCTAGACATCGAGCTAACGACGAAAATATCGTCTGAATCTTATTTTTAATTTCGAATAATCGTACTTCTGTTTATCGCTACTGTAACTAAAAAGATATTTGATTCGACTACCGTTGACACTTACAGTTCCATTAATTTATTTTTTACACTAATGGCTCTCGTAAGAAGTAATTCATAAAATAATCACTGTTTCGGATAAAATAATTACAAACGCTTCCGCGACTCGCCGTACGTACATATTTACGGGTTACGAATTTACAATTTCCCTCGGACGTATAATTTAAACTAACTTAACCGTATAATTTCGAAATATCCGACTACCCTTAAACATAAATTATTCCGCGAAGGAGGGTAGATACGTTGTTGCTTTTCTCACGGGCGTTCGAGGGTTAAAGACTCGTTCGCCACGCGATTATGAACGTTGGAACAGCATTGGTCGCGGCTTCATGTAAATCGCGCGGATTCCTGACAATTCAATTATACGCGTTCTCGAGCGTGGATCGGCGTGTGCCCTCTTTTCCCTCTCGTTCCTCGTTCGCTCCCTTCGCCGAGCCGAGCGCCTGCATTTGAAAATGGCGCGCTGCTAATCTCGTAATGCTCGTGTGAGCGTGCTTGCACGACGACTGACCGGAAAGCTCGATACGATAAAAAGCGCGACAATGAAATCGGTACCCGCTGATCCGTACCCTGATTTCCATTTTCGTCGCAATCGTGCTTTCTTGTACCTTTTTTTCAAGTTTCACGCACTAACCGTGAAACTGTAATGCTTAATCGTGCACGAGTCGTGTGACTCGCGTGTTCGTTTACAGTTGCAGGGAATCGCTGTTCCAATCGTACAGGCTGTTTCAAAACGAAGGTAGTAGTTTAGTCGTTTTTCCTAATTTTGATTCCTTATTACTCTACATTCGGAAAGTTTTATTTTATTCTAAGGTAAGAGATCGGATCGAGGAAGCGCGAGAAGCTAATATGCTTGCTGCTAATGTACCAATAAACCGCAGTTAGTATAATTTCAATTTTATTATAATTTCGATCGATAATGATCGATTCAAAACCGATATACCGCAGTCATATCGATGATAATTATTTGCACTTTGATAAATCGAGGGAAAAACTTGCTAAAATAACGAAATTCTAGATCGTTACATTTCTTAAGTTCCTTCCTTCCTAACTTTGACGGAATATGTACGTTTGATTCCACGAATCTGACGAATTCCAAGCTTCTGACCGACAGTGTACATCTCTGTGTATCCAATATCTTTTTCTCAATTTCCGCAGTAGAGCAGAGTGCGGCATTCGAACGAGGATTCCAGACAAAAAGCAAAAATTGTTGCCCACGTTCGCGCGTTTGCAGGCCACGTTCGCACGTTCACGGACCAGGTTCGCAGGCAACGATCGTACGTTTGCAGGTAACGTTCTCACGTTCCACGGTGTGGCATTTGAATAAGGATTTGGGGCAAAGCTAAAAAATGTACGTAATGTGCAGTTTTCCTGAAACTTGGTATTAAGGGATTCGACGCGAGTAAAAGTCTGTTTATCGACTCTTTGTCGGGATTTTTCCTGCTCTCTGGTTTCGTTTAAATATGTTACAACGTATCTTTTTCTTTGTCCAACCACACACGGTGACGTTTCAGTAAATAGCGTCGATGTTGGCAACGGTCGTTTCGTTTTTTCGTAAGTGTCACGCAGAAATCGTTCATCTTTTCTTCCATCTCGTCAGACATTGCGCCGACATCTGGTAAAGAACGGAGCTTTTGCGTTACTTTGACAACTTTCTTGGAACAAGTGCGATGAGAAACCCACTCCTCAGCCAAGTCGCGCTTAGTCCGTAACAGAAAAAGATTATGTAGCAACGTAATATAATACCTTCTTGACACCGAGCGATCTTTTAAATTGCCAATTGAATTTATACGTATTTTTCTTCAAATTCTTCATGTTTAATATTTAAGGCGTAACAAATGCTACTTAACGCGAATCAACGGGACTGTAAGAACAGGAACGTATAGCCAGCGAGCTAATTTCCAAGTAATTATTGACTTTGGTGTACAAACGATTTTTATCAATCCTCTGTGGATTTTTCGACAAATTATCGTTGACGTTCGTTACTAATTACTTACTTACGGATTAACGATATCATCGAATAATACGATGAAAATCGAGCAACGATTATTTCGATTTCTGTCCACTGCATGCCATACTGCGCGTTTATTTCGTTATAAAATTGTTTCTCTCTGTTCCTGTCGAACAGTATCAGCATCCTTTGTACCATAGTCTCGTAGTGGGAAAAACGAACGACGACCGGGAACTGTGAATCAGCAGGAGAGAAAGAGAAGGGAAAACGTGGAACGAGTGGG